CATAATTCCAAGTCCGTCCTTGTTTCTTGCAAGAAATTCAAGAAAGGTTTACAAAAGCAAACAATATTTCAATATTTATTTTTTGGGGATTTTGAGGCTGATCCTTTCAAAAATGTTAGACTGGTTCATATTTTTAGTCTGACGGGTCATGTTTACCTTCTGAATAATAAAAAGAGATTGGTCACACATGATAATTATACAAAGAAAAATAAAACAAGTTAAAATGTTAAAGCTATAGATTCATCTACACTTAATTAATGTCATATTCATACTCTTTGAATCATGACTGTAAGGATTGAGAGTAAACACATCTTGGGCTGAGAGGAAAATCTAATGCATTACACCAACCCGCTGAACCATTGAAAAGACTTGACAAATGAGCAATATTTCTATTTACTGTACTTTGCATGCATACAAGGTTTTGTTGATAGTGTAGCATATCATTGCAATAAATCATTAATATAGTCCAGCAGTCATTGATTACTAAGGTAATATTTACACTACATGGAGTAGTAATATTTTAATATTTCTGCCAGTTCCTTTTGCGGAGTCCAGCTTGGGGTGCTAAGAAAACTATGGGGTCTATTCACGAAGCTGCCGAATGATCTGGCCGTAGCTTCGTCCGATCCTTCGGCTAGCTTCGGCCCCAGGACCCGTTTGGTTCAGTAGAACCAAAGGGGTGCTGTACGGGCTTTTCACAATAGCCAGTACAGCTCCCGATCATGGCCGAGCGGCTCAGCCGAGCCGAACGCATATGCATCGGCTCGGCTGAGCCGTGCTGAATGCCGAAGCTGGCCGAGTGGCCGGCCTGCTTCTGACAGCTGGGCGAAGCCAGCCTTGATCTTACATCCGAACAGTGTTCGGCTCACTTCACTTCAGATCGGTCATTCACTCGGCTGCCCTCGGCAGCTTCGTGAATAGACCCCTATATGCTTCAAAAAGTGACTACAGTGAACACATTTGATAGCTGACAACATAAGTTTTTTTAATCTGGTTGCTATTTCCCTAGTGACTTCTGTGTGTATATCTTCATAGCTGTATATGTGGAGTGTGAGATTAAGGCACAGCTGCCTCTGACTAAGGGCTTGTCCACTCCATGTCCAGATCATGTCCAGACCAGAACAGTTTGTTCCCAGACCAAAAAAAACATACTTATGTATCCCTATGGTATTGCTGAGCTCTGTTCACACCAGCGCAGTTCAGTCTGGCAAGACAAAACACAATACTGCTAGTCTAATTTTCTCTGGTCTTTAATGCACTGAAACGCATCAAAAATGCACACAAATGCATGCAAATGCACTGGAACACACTGGAGCACACAAGAAAGGCCATTTTAAGCTAAAAATAAAAAAACTTCTCCAAAACGCTGCAAAATCACTGTAAAAGTGTGGTAAAAATGCGGCAAAAACGTGTTTCAGGTCTGGTACAGAAAATGGTGTGAACCTGGCCTAAGGGCTTGTTCACACCATATCCAGGCCAGAACAGTTTTTTCCGTACCTGAATGCATCCAAATGTATTCCTTTGGTATTTTGGGCTCTGTTCACACGAGTGCAGTTTGTTCCGGTAAAAAAAAAAATGCTCCATGCACTATTTTTTCTGGTCTGGAATGCACCAAAATGCATGTAAGTGCATCAAAGATGAATGCAAACATGTGAAATAGCACTGGAAGACACTGGTCTTCACCTGAAAGCACATTTTAAGCTAAAATAAAACAACACAGAATGCATCAAAAATGCACTGCACTGCATTTGCAGATCTGCTCCAGATCTGCTCATGACATGGTGTGAACATAGCCTAATAGTTTTAGCAGATTTTGAGTGAGATTAGGTGATGTCACTACTGTGCTGTTGACTGTTGTTTTTGCTGGGGGCATGAGGAAGCAGAAGCCCTTCATTTACTAACATTGCCGCTTCCACACAAAGCCTCAGAACAAAGCATGGTAAGCCACGAATAGGAAAAGATCAGAGACCACAGGCAGTACTGCTGCCTAGTTATTTGCCCTCTTTTTGGCTTTTTTGACAAAATTAATTTCCTATTTGGGTTTGGGTGGGCATTAGTGGACTATATCACTTGTTGGTTTCTTCTTTTGATCGATCTGTGAAGTTTTCCTGCAGTAGTTTAATTTCCAGCCACTCGCAAAGCCACAACAGCGGTGTCACTATGTTGAAACACCCCAACACTTGACTTTTAGACAATCAGTTATAATCAATTGACTTTGCAATAAATAGTAGGTGGATAGAACTGGGAATTGTACTGGTGACATTTCGCATTGGAATCTTAGACAGATATAAGAAACCAGCATGTGGTCACAGCAATTTAAGCTTTTTCTTTTTTTGTGTGCAATAATCCTGTAAATATTGCACATTGGCATTCTGATATAAAGTATACCATTAGATATGATCATGTATGCAGTATGTACTCATCTGTTGATTATCTAGTTGTAGATTTTTAAGGAAATGGTGTATCTGCAACTTTGCAGACTTGTACCTACAGTAATTGCATCTGATTTTATCATTTCAGACTAACAGACTAAAATGCGAAAAAACATAAAATTAAAAAATGTTTTCAGAGCTACTAGTACTGTACTGAGCAAATTGGGTAAGGTAATTATCTCAGCGTGATCTAATAGTGAAGAAAATAAATGCAGGAAAATGAAGGTTTTCCAAGGAGGAAGCAGGCAGGATGTTTTCAGACTAATCTATCGAGATATACTAATATTGGTAAACAGCCTCTAGCAGTATGGTTGGGGATGAATATTATTGGTGTTAAAAGAAGCAATGCAATTGCTGATTTCATTTGATCTCCAGTGGTTTTAATAGGACCAGCTTTTTATGGCTTACACATTTATATTTGGCAAATCTTTTTGAGCACATCTGTGTTTAACTGCAAGTCATAGCAGTGTGAATTTGATGATCTAATACAGGGGTAGCCAAACTCCGGCCCTCCAGCTGTGGTGAAACTACAAGTTCCATGATGCATCTCTCTACGGGAGTCATGTCTGTGGCTGGGAGAATCTTGCAATGCCTCATGGGATTTGTAGTTCCACCACAGCTGGAGGGCCGGAGTTTGGCTATCCCTGATCTAATAATTGATTAGTAAGCTATTTTGATCCATTTTTATTTTAGATGTAAAAGTAACCATTTTGTGTGTGGTTGAAATAGGACAAAATA